AAGAAGCTTCAAGGATGTCTCCCATGATTGTTCCTTCTCCTTCTACCTCCTTCCACTCCTCCATGAGTGGCTAGTCTTCTTTTCTAGGGTTTTGATGAAACCCTAGCCATGTAATTATGCAGTTTTCTTTTTGATTTTATATTATGTAAAGGTTTGAACCATTGTATGGTGTTTTAGAAATTCTTTATTTATAATTTTCATTATCTTTTCAAATATTTGACTCTTTGTGATTGTTGAATATTATCCATACATGAGTTTTATATTCCTTCACATTCAAGGTATGGGACGAACCATGCTACGAGGAACGAGTCGTATCACTACCCTAGTTTAGAGTGAACGATTCGTATTACTTGAGATGGTTCGTGCTCGTACATTAAATGTGATAATCTTCTTGTTAAATGCTTTGAGCTTGTAGTTGTGAAGCATTAATTCGTTCAAACCATAGCATAATTAATTTCAATTGGAAACCCTAATTATGTGGTTAGTGGTGAATTCTCTACCCTAGGATTTTTCCCCAATTTAGTAAATCCAATTTCATTTATTATTGATAATTTAATTCCTTAGTTTAATTTATTTGTTATTAAATTAGGTTATGATCATTCAATCTTTTTATCAAAATTAATTTAGGAATTTAACAATTAAATTAGTTTAATTTCACAATAGTCCCTGTGGATCGATACCTGGACTTGCCATTATTCTGATAGAATTTGGTATAGTTTAGTATTTAATTTTGGTGTGTTCAACGACCCATCAGTTAGAGATTGACGAGGATGCCTCGTATGAGAAGAGACTAGTTAGAGTTTTATATACTCGAGACCAAGTCTTGCGAGGCAAAACGATTCCTTTGCTAAAAGTGTTGTGGCAACACCATGGGATTGAGGAGGCCACTTGGGAGTATGAGGTGGAAGTCCATGAGAAATACCCGGACCTATGTGTTAATGTTTGAGCATATATTGAAAACCTTTCTATGTTAATGAAATATAAACATTGTATATGTTTTGGAAATGTGAATTGTATATTTAGTATTAATTCGTTTATTATGTTGATAGGAGAAGATGATCGGTGGATGGGTCATAGTATTAGCTATAATTTGCTGTCATTATTTTAATTGGTTTAAACCTTGGTTTTAATGTTTGGTTTAAATTTCAGGGACGAAATTCCTTAAGGGGGGAGGTTATAGCGTTTCTGGTTTGGGCTCGACTCATTTGATGTTTTAGATCCGGGTTTCATTGTCATATATAGTTATCCATGTCTTGTTTCTCCTTATATCTCTTTGAGTTTGGCTTTTAGGATGTGTTGATGGATTTGGAACAAGTTAGTAGCTTATTTTTCAAACTTTTGTTGCTCAGATTTTTGTCCCTTTGCTCGATCGAAGCTTCTTGCGCTTGAGCGGTCTTTGTGAACCTCCAGTACTTTTGCAGGTCCGCAAAAATACTGAGAGTTTGTATTCTTTGCTCGAGTAAAGCTTCTTACGCTTGAGTGACGACCACTGTCTGCAAGACTGCTACGAGTTCGTATTCTACGCTTGAGCAGTAAAACTTATTGTGTCTGGTCGTCGAGCGATACATCTTGAGCTCAAGCAAACTGAGCGTATATCAGTTCGTAAACATCCCATTTAAAGTCACTTTTTCATCTCTCTCTCTATATATAAACATTTCAAAACCCTAATATCTCTCACTCACTCTCTCTCTCTAAAACTCACCTATTTCCCTCAAATACACCTAGATCCATTTATTTTTTTCACCCGTGTGCCTTTGTTAAAAAGTTAGAGCTTGGCGTGGGCTTCATTTTAACCGGAGCAAAGTTGGTTTTTGGCATCCTTGGGATTCCTCACTCTCTCTCTCTCTCTCTCTCGTGTTCTAGCTTGAGGTAGGGATACTTTCCACACTTTTTATGAGTTTTAACTTAGTTATTTGTCATTTCTAAACCATATTGTGAATTTGGAAGAGTTGGAACAAATCTAGGGTTTTGAACAAAAATCAAAATAGGGGTTTTTCAAATAGGTTCTTGGAAATGATTTTGGTGTTGGAAATAATGTTGAGTTGGGTGAAAATGATTGATTTTGGATACTTGGGATTGATTTTGAAAAGTGTAAGAATTCTGCCCTAAATGCCTTAAATGTTGGTTTTGTATAAATAATGAAATTGATGTTGAAATTATAAAATTGGATTGGTATTGACGAGGATGGTAGAGTTAGATATGTATTATCACTCACCTCTTGAAATTTAGAAAGTTTATCTTTATGGAATATAAATTATCTGTTTAGAAATACTTGTTTGGGGCTATTGATGAAGGATAACTATGATTGTTGTAGAAATTGCATGTGAATTACGAGAATTGAAATTATTTCCTCATTCATTTGCATTGAGCATTATGCCACACATATATATTGAAAATGTTACTGTTTTGAGAAAATGGGTGAATCTGGAAAATGAATTATTGTTACATTAAATAAGTTGGCCTGTGTGTCCTGGGTGAAAGTCTCAAAAACCACGCGTATACATGGGTGTCAATCCTGAGGATGAAATTTTTGTGAAATGGCAATAGTAGTGCTTGTATAGCCTATGTTTACATAGGTCCCGGCTTACGATTTCCTTTGAACGAAATTTTCGAAAAATGTTGTATTGTTTTAAAATTCCCAGAGTATGATTCATTGCCCAATTTTCTATTGTAATGGAAATGATTTATGAATCAATATATGTACTTGGTATTGCATAGTTTTGAAAAAAGGTATAAAAATGTTTTGGCACGAGTATTGCATATGTATTCACCTTATAACTTTGTTAAGATTCATATACTGTGTTGGATTATTTCTACTGGGTTTTGGCTCACCCTACGTGGGAAAAACATTTCAGGTACTGATGATATGCCTCCGCCAAGGCAATAGCTTGGGAGGAATTGGAGCGAGAGCTTCTTTTTGTGTATTTATTATATTTATTTTGTACAAGCCAAGGACTTTAACTGTATTGGACTTAAGTCCACTTTTGTTATCTTCTTGGAAAGCTGTAAGCCCTTAGGGCATTTCTTATCTGTTTAACTTCCATTTTAATTTTTTTATTTTGTTCACAACATATGCTATAGATTCAGGACCAGACATTATGAACGTATACATCATATGTTTCTCTTTTGTAAACTCAATTCGATTTAATGGAAGATAATTGTTTATCGTTGTTGTCATTTATTGATATGGTGGATGTATTATTATATTTATTTCGAGGTGTTACAACAACCTACTCGAGGTGAGTAATATCTTTGTAATGGTATTTTAATATGAATTTCTTTGAAAGTAGTTTTACTATGCAATGAATTATGAAACCTACACTTTGTATAAGTGATGAGATATGATTCAAGATTTTTGAACAAGTACTTTGAGACACTAAGCTATCCTCGAAACCTCTAAATTGTGTGAAATGAGATAAGCTTTCCGAAAATGTGATTTGATAAGAATGAATGAGTTTCCTTTGAACGATGACATGAAAATGTGCTTTGACCATTTGGTAACCACTATTTCGTCTATGATCCGCAAGTGATATTCTGTAAAAGTTAATGACTCATTATGAACATTTTGGATGATGTCGATCTTGATGATTATTCCGTATGACTTCGATGGTAATCGTCTGTATGGAATCTATACGTATAAGATGTTCTGTATGAGCTATCAAGTATGAGTCATCAATGTGATGTTCTGTATAAGCCATCAAGTATGATGTTCTGCATTCTGTATAAGCCATCAAATGTGATGTTCTGTATGAGCTATCAATGTGATGTTCTGTATAAGTCATCTAAATGATGTTCCGCATAAGTCATCAAATGTGATGTTCTATACGAGTCACCAATATGGGTGTTTCGAATGAACTCATTCAATATGAATGTTCAGTATGGTCTTTTGATAAGTAACATAAAGCGTTCAGGCACTTTGCAATGTGATAATTTATGAAAGGTTTGGTAATAACCGTATTTGCTATCACATGTTTTCGAAACAAGCATCAACTACGACAAGAACCTTTTGAATTACTCTGATAAATTATGAGACTCGTTCATTTAACCTCTTTACATTGAGGTTACTCATTGGGTTTCCAGTTCACTCTATTTATATATATGTATGTAGGTGAGCATCAAGGAGTCCAGCATTAGAGCATGCTTTGGAGTCAGCCTTTTGTGAAGCCACCTGTGTTATGCCTCAGGATCGAGGCCTTAGTTTTTTTTTGTTTTTTTTATTTTTTATTTTGAGCCGAGCTTGAGAAACTTTGGTTTTGTACAATTTGTTGTGTTATATATATATTTTGATCTTGGGTTTGTATGTACAAGATGAATGTTTGTATATATTATTGTATGATGTGAGATATAACATGTATGTTTTGTCATTTGCATGTATGCATAGCTCAATGGACAAGTTTTTATATTCTGCTTCTGCTTGTGGCCCCGTATATTGTATTATAAATTCTGTTAATTCTGTCTTTGAGGCTGGGTAATCTGAGATTACTAGCCGATTACGATCCTAAACCTATAAAGGTGGGTTTGGGGTCGTGACATTACCATTGCCATTCATCTACAAAAATATGTGCATCCAACTATTATTTTTCTCAACGTAGCTCAAGTGGTTGTACTTTAGATTTCTAGAGGGAGGTTTAGAGTTCGTGCTTATGGAGAAGCTTTGACTGCTAGGTTGTGCTAACCTATCAACATCCAAACTAGTGCAAAAAAATAAGAATAATTAATTGTTGATTTTCTCTCTTTCTTCTTTCCATTGTTTACAATGATAAACCGGTTGACTTCTAATACTTTTCCGTATGTATTTAATGGCAACAGAGTATCAAGTTTCATGTATCTTGGAAATATTTAACCAAGGCAACTGGCTAAGATTTCCCCCCTCCCCGTTTAACTAATTGAACTAGCAACCTATAAAGTGAATGGTCAAAATGAATCTAGAAGTAGGCCACCTAGAACATTGAAAAGAAAAACAAAAGCGTGCTTGATCAAAACACAAGTATGTGTAAAAATTACTGGTGACCATGTAAACTCCATCTCTGGTGAAATCCATCCATGTCTTCAATTCCATTGGCCAGAATTAAGTGCCTACAATTTTGAAAAAACATAATCACCATAATCAATTAATTTCACAACCAATCTCAAAGGCTTCTATAGTTATTTTTAAAAAAAATTAAATAAAAAGAAAAAGGAATATGTCAAAGATAAACAGGCAAAGTCTCTTGCATTTGTCGGTTTTAGAGCCAAATCTTTAAAAAAGCTAGTCCTAGAACCAGGGAAAGGAAGATTGTGAACATGAACTAAAATTCTTCTATTTTTGTTTTTGTTTTCTTTCTTTTGTTCACTCTTTCTTTCTTTCTTTCTTTTCAATTTTTATTTTTTTATTTTTTTATAGAGTAGCATGGTGGGTAGATTTTATGTCCATTGTAAGAACAACAAAATGCAAAACAGACTAAAGGGAGGAAAAAACAGTTTGCAACACGTAGCATATGTTGGAATAGCATTATATTGCCACCTTTAAAAACTTTCACAATTCGAAAACACTTCATACGACATGATTATATCATTTCATGCTTGCTTATGAATACTAAATACCTATCCAATGATGTAACTTCTGATTGCAGTTGAGTTGCTCTTTCATTTGCTTCATCTAAAGGCATAGATGACCGCAATTTGCGCTCACTATCTTGAAGTTGTTCCCTTAGTTCCTTATCCTAAAGTCAGTCAAAAATTTTGAGTTAGACAGATGATAAAATGCAATAGAATGAAGAGAGCTCTATTTACAATATATTGACATCTCAACCAACAAGGAAAGTAGAAAATAAAATCAATTATTATCTCACCATTTTCTCTGCACACTGCCAATATAAAGCAATCTCATCTTGACAAAATGGCTTAATATCATTGATTTGCAAGCGTATAACACAGCCAAAAGAGACAACAGAAAAATAATTTTTAAAGAACTGCAAAACTTAATGCACGAGAGAACAAGAACAGAAGGAGAAGTGAAGGAAAAAGGCAGAACTTACACAAAAATAGGTTCCTCAATATCCCATCACACAAATCAACACCTTCGAGTACATGAGAGGCAATTTTTGGTGGAATGAGTGGTGAAGGGGGCCCCATCATAAGATCATCGCCGATCAAAATAGTTTCCTCCATCATTGGTTGTGAATCAACTAAAATCCATGAAAGAGAAAAACTCATAAGTATAATTCTTTCCAAGTTTTAAAGCTTTGTTGCATCAAGTAACCCACAAGATACTCACTAGAGCTCCAAAATGCAAAGGTATGATGTGAGGCCTAGGATCTAAAAGCATTGACATGTAAGCTTTAAGGCACAAGCTCAAATCAAATGTCCATGAAATAATTTTATTTTAACTGATGGTAGAAAAATGGGGGAAAACACTATACTAGGACCTTTTGATTCCAAATTTGTACCAACAATTAATATTGATTGATGGCAAACCACAGGTTCAAGAAGATTTTAAAAAATTTAAGCATTAAGCAACATACATGTCAAAGCTTATTTATTGATTTGAGGAGCCATAAATCAATATATATATGTATATATGTGTGTGTGTGTGTGTGTACTCAACCTTCGGTCCTCTAAGAGGGCCAACTTTATTCTTTTCTTCATATAATACACAACACACATAACAATAATAAAGGAACTTAAAATGTTGAATTTAGTATCCCATGTCCACTCCACACTTTGATAGGTGATTTGGAAGGGAATACATTATCAAAGCATTAGCAACAAGAGCTTCTCCACAATTCCCATGTCCTTAGAATATTTCTTTCTCATATACGCTAAGACATCCATCAAAATTTCTAATAATTTTCTAAGACATCCATCCAAATTTGTAATTATATCAACCAAGTCTGATCATCCTATTATGTATCACTTCTATAGCTATATACCATTTAAACAATCACAATAGTTGCTAGCTTCCAAAAAACCTAACGCAAGTAAATAAAAAAGCATTGTCTCTAGAAAAGAGTTGTTCTTATTCACTACTATAAAATGTTTTGAATATAATAGAGCTTCAAAGTTCAAACCAAGGGTTTCAAATAAGGGTGTTTATTTAGTTAGCATTTTTTGAAATAGTCTCTTTTGGTTATTGACAACTGAGAGCAAACAAAAATCAATGCAAATTTCAATAAAGAAGATCAAAGTACGAAAATTCAAAATTCAAATACATGTAATAGAAAGGCATGTATGTATGTAAGTAGGTTTCACATTCCATCCATGATTGCTTTGTGTTGCTGTGATTGTACACCCCCAATATTGAATTCAATGCTCCATCAAAGTTGTACAATTACAGGTTTAAACAACAAAATGTGAAGACTAGCCAATCTATCACCTCGAATGATATATGTATATATATAGAGAGAGAGAGCAGGGTATGATTACAGAAATAGGTGAGTAAGTGAGGGCTGAAGCAAAAATTGAGGAATGTAGCGAAAAAGAAGAGTCTGCCTGAATATATTGTTTAGCTGCAGGGTTACAATATCTTAACCATTGTATGAATAAATGGCACATATGATAATAGATAAGTTGCCAAATGAGGTACTCCCAATGGGCCAACATGAATTCTTTGTCTTTTGGGTCTTCATCACACAAGACAAATTACACTGACCTCATAGAGGTCTTTGTAATTTTATTAAAGTTTGGAGAAGGTTAGTATAATTTATTCAATTTTTTTTTTCTTTTCATTTTTTAACTTTGTCTTCGAAATATTATGTTGGCAAAGAAGTTATTTCTTTTTGGACCATTTTAACCACAATAATAATAATAATAACAATTGTCAAATAGTGCACATCATCCTTTTTGTAAATAAGTTGGATAAACAAGAAAAAAAACAAAAAAAAAATGAGAAAAAAGACTGACTTCAACAGAAAGATTTATCCTAAATTAGTTGGTCTAATGGGCTAGATATCAAGTTATCAAAAATAATAATTGATGGGCACGACCCAAAAGGGGCTATCTTGGGTTATCCAAACAATCACTCTCCTAAAGCTCGTCAAAACAAGCCCTACACTAAGTCCAGTAAAGAACTCACAATGGTCAGGCCTAGGTACTAGCTAGCCATGTGTTACGTAGGGAGTTGGCACGTGGCTGACAAAGATTTTGGGGAGTTATTTTGTCCACACGCGAAGTATTAAATGAGACTGTCAAAACATTAAATGCAACAAACAACCATGGTCGAGGCAAGCAAACGGCAGGCTTTCGGCCAATGAGACAACATGAATGGACAAGGAAATAATTAATGAACAATATAAGGAAGCCTCTAGTTTACGTGGTTGGTAAGAAGAAATCTCTCTCTCTCTCTCTCTCTAGACTGTTATTCAATACCACCTAATTTAATCGTCGGAGGGTTCACGGGAAGGAACCACCCTATTTCAGAACCTTCCCATTGGACTCGTTACAGGTGTGTCTAGGAAGACAGAGCAGAGATGACCTGTGGAGCGCCTGGATCAGTCCTACCCAGTCCTACCATGACCAAACTGCATTATCAGTTGACGCCGTCTGTGGGAATTCTTTGGTCGATAGTTGTGTTCATTATCGTCGGAGGCATTTCCCCCATCACCCACATTTACGTCGAAGTGAATGGTTACAACGAGATCTATGGATTCTGTGATACCCCTGTTCCGTAGTATGCTAATTGATCCTTAAACAGAGTATGATTATGTGTTTACCATGATTTTATGTGCCATTATGCGAATATATGTGATTTTGAAGTTTTATCTGTTCACCGTAGGAATATCTATAATTTATTCAATTTTTTTTTTCTTTTCATTTTTTAACTTTGTCTTCGAAATATTATGTTGGCAAAGAAGTTATTTCTTTTTGGACCATTTTAACCACAATAATAATAATAATAATAATAACAATTGTCAAATATAATAGTGCACATCATCCCTTTTGTAAATAAGTTGGATAAACAAGAAAAAAAAACAAAAAAAAAAAGTGAGAAAAAAGACTGACTTCAATGGAAAGATTTATCCTAAATTAGTTGGTCTAGTGGGCTAGATATCAAGTTATCAAAAATAATAATTGATGGGCACGACCCAAAGGGGGCTGTCTTGGGTTACCTAAACAATCACTCTCCTAAAGCTCGTCAAAACAAGCCCAACACTAAGTCCAGTAAAGAACTCACAATGGTCAGGCCCAAGTACTAGCTAGCCATGTGTTAGGCAGGGAGTTGGCACGTGGCAGACAAAGATTTTGGGGAGTTATTTTGTCCACACGCGAAGTATTAAATGAGATTGTCAAAACATTAAATGCAACAAACAACCATGGTCGAGGCAAGCAAATGGCAGGCTTTCGGCCAATGAGGCAACATGAATGGACAAGGAAATGATTAATGAACAATATAAGGAAGCCTCTAGTTTACGTGGTTGGTAAGAAGAAATCTCTCTCTCTCTCTCTCTAGACTGTTATTCAATACCACGTAATTTAATCGTCGGAGGGTTCACGGGAAGGAACCACCCTATTTCAGAACCTTCCCATTGGACTCGTTACAGGTGTGTCTAGGAAGAAGGAGCAGAGACGACCCGTGGAGCGCCTGGATCAATCCTACCATGACCAAACTGCATTATCAGTTGACGCCGTCTGTGGGAATTCTTCGGTCGATAGTTGTGTTCATTATCGTTGGAGGCATTTCCCCCATCACCCACTTTTACGTCGAAGTGAATGGTTACGACGAGATCTATGGATTCGCAACACAATACTGGCAACCCTCGAGCTGAGTCATCCAACCCAAGCAATCCACCTTCGTATTTTACAGAACTCGCCAACAGCATCAACCGTTTGGCTGAGCAAAACTAGACCTTGATCAATGCTTTGCTCCAGCGTGATCTCCCTATTCCTCCCCCTCCGCTGCCACAAGACATTCCTCCAAACCAGGAACATACCCTAAACCACCACCCATAACAACCACGTGTTTCTCAAGGACCTCTTGTCCCACATTTCGCCCCACAAGCTCACTTGTCGAACTTGGAGGGCTTACACCCCCCTCCTCAGCGCTCGCAACTTCATCAGGACGAACCTCAACCCTTTTATAACTGCCATCCATCACACCACACTCCTGTCAATGAAGGTGAGGCTAGTAGTGTTCAACCCTCATTTTCTTCCTGAGGAGACAATGTTCACATTTGGGATGCGAAGCTGCAAGCCGTGGAGCTCTAACTTTAGAGGGTCATACAGAACATACAGAACAAACCTGCCACGACCGCCAACTCCTCCTTTGTCGTTTCTATCAAGGATAAACCTCTTCCCTAATGAAATCACGCATCGCGCTTTCCCTGTGACACACAAGGGGTCGGCACGACTGTGGTTTAGTCAACTCAAGCCAGACTCTGCCATTACTTTCCATCAGCTAAGCGACTCCTTCCTGAGCTATTTCATGGGCACTTAGCGTCAACGACGTCTGGCGACGCAGCTACTGATTTTAACAAACGGAAAGGGAGATTTATGTAGCTTTGTCACTCGCTTTAATTCGGAAACTTTGCAGGTCAAGGAGAATGATGACAAGGTCATTTTAACAGCCTTCATGGCCGGGCTATGCCCATCAGATTTCCTCTTCTCCCTCTTTAGAAACCCTCCAGTAACCATGGCTATCCTCTTTGCTAAAGGCCAGAAATACATGAATGTTGAGGACTCTTTGGTAGCCCGCCAAGATTCTACGCCTAAACCTCCACAACCCAAAAAAAAATGAAAAGAACCCAATAAACACTCCCAATACACCCACTGACCTACCCAATATATTGACCGGCCCCCATGCTCCGACCGATTGGCTCCTTCCCACCCATCCGATCATTTCAAGCAGTATACCCCTCTTAACTCACCCATAGAGCAGGTCCTTAACCAAATCCAACAAGACTATAATTTAAAATGGCCTTAACTTTCCAAGTCTCCCTCCATCCATTGGAATCAGTAGATATATTTTCACTTTCATCGCGACCACGACCATGAGACCGAGGAGCGCATCAATCTTGAGGATCAGGCAGAATGACAGACATATTCTGCGAGGCTTGATTCATCACAACTCGACCCCACCAAAGAGCAAGGGCTGATCCTCCGAGGCAGAATGACAGACATATTATGCCAAGGCAAACCGATCAACCACGACAGAATGATGATAGAGCCCAACAACAACCTCGATCTGTAGGCTGACCCGCTCTCACAATGAAAGAAATTAG